AAGAGCGGAAATAGTAGCAAATTGGGGCGGGATATGGTCACCAACCCAAATTTCTAGATGTTCAATAAGTGCAATCGTCCTCCTAAATTTAATTATAAAACCGTTCGAATTTAGTTCTCGAATTCTATATAATCATTAAATTTTTTAATATTTACAACAACGCTACGCTATATTAATTTAACTACTTACATATTCAATTTTTACTCGTACAAAATAACACAATCCAATCCCCTGCCTTTTGCGTTTCTATTTGTTGAGTTTTTCATAGATTTGATTGTTACGATCACTAAAATAGTAAGATAGTGAGCTCACAATAATGAAAAGATATGCAACCGAGCTTCTAATTCGATTTCTTCAGAATAACACTACAGTAAAATAAGAGATTTGATAAAATTTAGGTACTTCTGATTAAGTTGGGCTTAGGCTTAAAAGTAGAAATATAAAAATTATATTTTGGATTTGGACTAAAATAATTAGTCAGCAAATTTATTTTTTTAAAATAAAATAATTTGATTTATTTAAGATTTAAAAAATTAGGGAAATTCCGTCCTTCGATTCTTGATCTAGAATCGAAAATTAAATCAAACACGTCAGTTCTCAATTCATATACCCGTTTGGTTGGGTTGGAAAGGACAAGTGCCCGCTTCTTACTCCAATCTTCCATATCGAATTAAACAAAGATAAGGAGGAGTCATTATCAATTGTATTTAGCTTTATAAGAATCGCTTGATTCGATTCAAGAGTTTTGTCCAGCCCTAGGTTGAAGTGATGAAATTACCATTATTTTGACAAATAAAAAATTGAATAGTGATTTTCAGGAAAAGTTAAAAAGGTTAAAACGTAAAAATAAGTATGTAAAAAAAAGTTTTCGACTGATAGTTGTCAAGTAAGGTCTTGTTAGAAGTAAGCAAAGGTTGGATTCATAACCAACTCGATTATCGAAGCAGAAGGTTCGGATCAAGTGAACATATGAAATTCCAACTCGAATTCGAACCAACGGATAGGACTAAAAAATCCAAAACGATCCAAGTCACTTCTAATCGATTCAATTTGTCGACTTCAGTGAAATTTTTCCTTGAAAATTAATTTTTAAAGTTAACCCCTCAAATCGAAGTTAATTGACATCCCTCCAAATCATTGAGTCGGGTTGTTTTGGCAGCTTGGGTCGATCAGGCAGTTAATTTGCCCATCCTTAATATTAATCATGTTTAGGAATGGAAAATAGGTCGTCGCCCCCGATCGTGCCCTTGTGGACTCTAGTAAGTATGTGATTCATTTTTCTAAATATTGATATTTTGACATCTCTAAATCTAATCATGTTTGTACATTAGAGTTTAGACTCTAGTATCACAGTGATTTATAATTGCAAAGGTTATAATTTGTAGAACACTATATTTAAAAAAAAAACAATATATATATTTCATGTATTTATACACTTGCTTGGACTTCTCCCCCACCCCCAAAAAAAATAAAAAAAATCCATTCAATTCACGAATCACGACGTAGAAAAAAGAAGTAAAAGGCTGGTAAAGGCAACTTATAAATATTAATGTAGCACATTTAACAATTGGGGTGGTGGCGCAGTTGGCTAGCGCGTAGGTCTCATAGCTTCTGAGGTATCCTGAGGTCGAGAGTTCGAGCCTCTCTCACCCCATTCTCTTTTTTTGCTTTTTCCTAGGAAAATACATAGAACTGAAACTTTATTTTAGACTTTTGCCCTTTGTTAGAAAGTAATCATGATGATTTGACGAACCTTAGAGACATACTGTACTCCAGTTTCCCTTCTTTTCTTTTCTTTTTTTTTTTCTGCGTTAATATTTTATGAAGTGATTTTTGCACTGCAAATCATTGTACATATTGGATATAAGCCTATTTTTGCATAGTGAAAGTCCATATTTCGGAAATTATCAGCCCAGTGAGAATGGAAATTGATTATCCGAAAGAAAGACGGGCCTACTTTCCAACATGAAAGATGAAGATTATATATTCATTAACAGACGCATTATCAATAACTAGTCCTCTTCTGATATCTCCGAAGGCAAGTCTTCATTGGCCGGGCCTGGATCCATCTTGACACGTTCGACGAGTGAGTTCGGCTGGGAGGATGAAGCCGCTGAAGAGACACCATTAGTAGCTGTTGTTATTTTTGGTTCAGAAGACTTGGGAATAAGTCCTTGTGCTTCCAATGCTTCCCGCGCTGCTTGCTTTTTGGCTCTTTCAGCTCTTTCCAACACATCCTCCTGCACGCACATCCATTTCATGTTAGGACACATAATTTTCTCTGCAGACAAAGGTGTATGGAGGTTTTCATCTCGTTTTAACACTCCCAAAGGATAAATCAAGACAGACAAGAATGATCATAGAAGTCTCTATATCTAGAGGGATCCTTAGTTACCATTCGTAGAAGTTGAAAATGTAGCACACGAGAAGAGTTCAACTTAATGACCCTCCTTCTAAAGGATATGAAAAAGAGGGCAAAACGTGTCTAAGCTGCCACATGAAGCGAAAGGCAAGAGAAACCTAAAATTGCCTATTGAATCAGATATACTAGACAAAAATGTTTTTTCAAGAAACTGACAACCTAAAATCCATCAACACGCAGTATTAATTTAAGGAAGTGCAGATTTTTGTACTAAACAATTTAGTTCTTCTGATTAAACAAACGTGAAATCTGATGCAAAGTTCTCACTACACACGACTTCAAAGATATTATTCAGAATGCTAAAAAGCCTGACTTTTTCCCTCCCTGAGAGGGTAAAGAAGATCCTGAATAAAAGTTTTGAAGGGTCGTGTCATATTGTTTGGATTTACAGCAGTCAAGATGAGGGATATATGTCTGTTTAGCCTTGTGAAGATCTCAATTATGGTTTTATTCCGCCCCATTCATCAGCACAGCAAATGTCAGAATAGGATAAATTACTAGATGGACGACTTCAGTGGTTTTCGGGGACAGGTTTTGCATAGATCTGTGGAGGTTTTGAAGCTTCCTGGTCAAAAGAGTGACACGCTAATCTCACAATTGTCTAGCAATAAATCGCCTGGAGTGGTGAAATAGAATTCATATGTTCGACCCCAAATTTAAGAGAAAATTGTACAAACTAAGGCATCCAGTGCAGTAAACACCAAGTTCTTCACCAGGACATTTTGGTTCCACGACAAGGCTGTACGAATATCGCCCCTAAAGATCTAACAAACTATGAAGCTAAAACCATTTCGACAATTAATCATATGTAGACAAGCCCATTCCAAGAATGAGTACCTGAAATTCTTGTACTTGCTTTTGTTGCTCAGCTTGCAATCTACCAATTGTACTTAGAAATTCCCCCAGAGTCGACTCTATACGCTCATTTAGTGCTTCTGCCAGAGCCTTCCCAAGGAAGAATGCATCTAGAACAGTTCTACTCTCATTCTCACCTGCAAAATGTGGAATAATTTCCTTTGTTTGCCAATGTACAGAATGGTCGAAACTATGGTTGGACTCGGAGCAAGCATATCACTAAAAAATTAACTTGATTCAGTAATCTTGTTTACTTTTTTTCTGTGGGTAAAACATCAGGCATAATCATCGGTAAAAATGCATTCAAGAATATTTCAGACAAAAAAAATAGCTTCAAAATTTACCTTAAAACTAGTGAAATCTGTCACGGGCTTCTTTCTTTTTGACAAATTTAATAAAGAATGGAAACAATCAAAAGGGAAAAAGAGTTACCAGGACCAGATTCACCAGGTTTGGAACTACAATTGCACCTTAAATTGACTCTTGGAAATTTGTGCGACCCAGTTGCAATTGGCCTGAAATAAGAGGAAGGGAGTGGATGGTGAAGTGGGGTGCGTGGATAATAACCCGGTGGGGATGCCGTGACTCCCCAACTCATTTTCTAGGTTCAGTTCTTTCTTCTTTTTACCACTCTTTTCAAGAAAATTGGGCGGAGATTCTTGGATTTGGATTGGGACAAGAATGGGTTCAACGGTTTATAACTTTTACTGGAAATTTGTACTGTTACCATCTCAAGGTCGGTAATGTGGGGGTAGATGTGGCACACCTCGATAATTCGATGATTTCTTAACTAATCCCCTTTTTTTATGTTCATTGGCTAAAATAAAATTTTGAATACTAAGTGCTTTTTTGGTAAAAATTAAAATTGAAAATATAGTCGTTATTGGATTTCACTCGTCTAATAAAAGTCAACAATAACTGCTAATTTTTCAATTTTAATATAATTTTAATCTCTACCGAACACGTCCTAAATTTTTAAAGAAATAATTATTTAAAAGTAAGAAATTTTTTTGAATTTACGTGCAAAATATTTTATTGTGTAACAGTATAGTTAAAATGAATATGTCGCAAAAAGAGTTTTGTGGAAAATAATTGTCAAACAGGGCTAACTTTTCTTTAATTTTTGTTTGGTGCAACTAAGAATTTAGATTAAAATTTGAGTTAATATCAATAATTAACTTTCAACAATCTATTAAGGCCCTGTTTGGGAGGG